ATTGACAAAAATAAACAATCATTATTTATATTTCTGAAAGCATTCTTCATTTACAGCATTTTTTCACACTGCCTACAACTTTTTCACAGTACTGTACTTGTTCAGTTAGTGACACCGAACATGGCCAAGAGAGATCTTGGGCTCACAATTAGGATGTTATAGACTCTTGAATTCTCGATCAACTTCGAGAAGAGTCATCTGGAACCCACTACTAGGCTTCAGCATTTAGGGGCAGTTATTGACACCGTGGAGAACGAGGTGTTCCTCTCACAGGATTGTAGGGACAGCATAATAAAGCAGATTCTCGGGACATGTTCTGTTCCTGTAGTTCTCCTCTCTAAACTCCTAGGCAAGTGTATTTTGTGCATCGCGATTGTTCCATGGGCCCGCCTCCATGCCAGGAAGCCGCAGTGGCTGCTACTGCCTCATCAGAGGGACGGAACCAGCAAAGCGACCTTTAAAATCTATGTGCCACCCCAGGTCCTCCTGTCCTTTCGTTGGTGGATGTCTGCAGCCCTGGCCAAGGGCTCCCTGTCCAGGGAACCGGACAGGTTGGTGCTAACGACCGATACGAGTCTCTTCGGATGGGGGAGCACACCTCAATTCTCAGCGGGCCCATGGGTGATGCATGTCATCAGACTTAACACAAAACATTAATTGGCTGGAACTCAGGGCGATCCACCTGGCTCTTCGCCACTTCAAGGAGCGGATCTCCAGACAGCACGTTCTCGTCCTAATGGACAATGTCACCACCAAGGCCCAGGTCAACAAGCAGGGGGGCACGCTCTCTGGCCCTTCAGAATGAGGCAGAGAAGTTGGGGAACTGGGAGTAACGGCATCTCCTGTTGCTGAGGGAAGAACATATATTGGGAGTGGAAAACCAGCAAGCTGACTTGCTCATCAGGGCGACCATGGACCACAGGGAGCGGCAGCTGCATCTCAGAGTCTTCACCGAGATTTGCCAGAAGTTCGGCATGCTGGTCGTGGACCTGTTCACCATACCATTGAACGCACAGATCCAGAGTTTCCTCTCCCAGTTCCAAGCTCAGGGAGCAGAGGACATTGACATCCTGCGATGCAGATGACCAGAGGGACTCCTCTATGCCTTCCCCCCCCCCTTCCCCTCATTCCCGGGGTCCTGAGGAAGTTGCGTATGGAGGTGATCACAGTGGCTCCCTCCTGGCCCTGACGACCTTGGTTCGCGGATCTGATAGACCTGTCCATATCCCCCCATTGGAAGATTCCACGGAGGGAGGTGTCAGGGGGCCCTGAGTCATCCGATGCCCCAGTGGCTTCAATTGATTGCCTGGTACTTGAGCGAGAACAGTTGAGGGCAGTCAATTTTTTCAGCCAGAGTAATCAGGACCATTGTGGTCTTGGAGAAATCCACCACCTACATTTACAATGCTACAGGGTCCTCCTTTGTGTCCTGGTGCCGGTCCACGCATGTAGCACCTGCGTCGGCTTCGGCACCACAGATGCCGGAGTTCCTTCAGGATGAACTTGAGAAGGGTCTTTCCTACAGCACCCTTCGGAGGCAAGTTGCAACCTTGGCAACTGTCCTCAAGGGGGTGGGCTCTCGTTCCCTAGCACAACACCCAGTTAATATGAGGTTTCTTCAGGGAGCAGCAAATCTTAACACACACCCCCCCCCCCCATGATTCACAGGTTTCCCACATTCTTCAGGCGCTTACCGAGGCTCCCTTCGAGCCTTTGAGAATGGTGAGCCTTCAATTCCTAACACTTAAGGTTGTTTTCCTGGTGGTGATTACTTCAGCCAGACGCATCTCTGAGCTCAGCACAGTCATCTAGGACTGACCTGTGCACATTTCATGACAACAAGGTCATTCTCAGACTGGATCCTGCGTTCTTGCCTAAGATTAACTTCCTCTTTCATAGGGCTCAGGAGGTGATTCTCCCGGACTTCTATCCGGCGCCTTCTGGGGAGAGGGAATGTTTCTGGCATCAACTGGATGTCAGGAGGGTGCTTCGTATCTATCTGAAATGCACCTCCTTCTGGAGGTCTGAGGCGATCTTCGGTTTCTTCCAGCCCTCTACCCTAGGGGCGAGGGTGTCACCTTCTACCATTGGCAGGTGGATCAGGTTAGCGATCACCGGGGCATATGAGGCATGCAGGCTTCTGGTGCCGGCAGGCATCATGGCACACTCCACTAGGAGTGCGGCCACGTCTGCGACCTGGTCGACTCAGGCACCTGTAGAAGATATTTGTAGGGCGGCCACCTGGGCTTTGCCATCGCCCTTCATTAGGCACTACCGGCTGGATGCTTATGCTTCAGCTGAGGCCTCTTTTGGTAAGAGGATACTGCAGGAACTTCCCCTTCCTTCCCAGGTTCTTCCTTGGAGCATTGACCTTTTGATTAAACAGGAGCCAGGCAGAAGAAGAGAGTGGCTTCAACTTTAACCTCAGTCTCTGGACATATTGGACATGAGAATAACCATCAGTGACACATCCCACAAGACTCCAAGAAATGCAGTTCAGATAAGACTAACTGTCATTTTCTGAGCCGAGAACTGCTATCAACAGTCATCATTTAGAATGCATATTAAATTTGCAGATAACTATTTTTAAAACACCATCTTTTCATGTGACATTACTAGCAACATTTTTACTCCAGAAGTATTTTATAGTTGTGTGTTACTAAAGGTTTCTTCTAGCCTGTGTATAGATTTTATTTCCCCCCTCCCTCCCTCTTTTGGCAGGCCTGTTAGATTTGGCAAGCTTCTATAGAGACAACCGACTAAAGAAGCTTTGCCAACAAACAATTAAGCAGGGCATTTCTGAAGAGAATGCAATTGCTCTTCTATCAACTGCAGTCAAGTATGAAGCAAAGGTATGGAAAATGTTCTTTACTGAGTTGCTACTGACGGGGGGGGTTCTTATTCTACATTGAACTATGAGCTTGAATTTGCTTGTGCAATTAACATATTGAGTAGTGTTAGTCAAGGAATCCACACTGTTGGAATACTACACTTGGCCTATTGTCTGGGATCTGGTGAAAATTAGAAGCAGTTCTTGTATGTAAAGTACTTTGAAGACGTGAAATCATTGGGCAAATGCTAAAAATTTGCTGTTAAAAATAACAATTTTTGTAGTTTTCAAGATAATCAGACCAATTTCATAACTTCTTGGGAAGGATATATTTGGCTGCATGAAACATCTAGAGTACTCCATAAAAGAGGTGAATAAAGGAAGTATTCTGAACTCTGTGAAATTAGTTTCTTAAACTCTCAATCACCTAGGTCATAGTTGTCTCAAAGGTGTTAAACCAAAAGGCAACTGGACTTTCTTGGTTTTTTCCCTTGAAAATGTTTTGCTTCCCCATCCAAGAATTTTGTTCAGTCCTGACAGTCAATTGCTATATTTGTTTTAGATCTCCGGATTTAGTTAGGGTTGACCCAACTATATTTAAGCAATATGGAAAACTGTAGAGTGGGGGAGGACCCAAGACAGAGGTGTAAATTAGAGTTTAGTAAAGCAGTATAATTAAAAGCCTATTTGGTCATTTCATTGTGATGGAGAAATAGCAATAGCAGTTAGACTTATATACCGCTTCATAGGGCTTTTAGTCCTCTCTAAGCGGTTTACAGAGTCAGCATATTGCCCCCA